CCTCAGGGCCACCCCCCACCCCAGCGCCGGCCCCGTGCGCCTGCAGGATCCGGCCTCGCCTGCGGACCGAGCCAGCGCCGCCGTCACCATGGGCAACATCTTCGGGAACCTGCTGAAGAGCCTGATTGGGAAGAAGGAGATGCGGATCCTGATGGTGGGGCTGGACGCGGCTGGGAAGACCACCATCCTCTACAAGCTGAAGCTGGGGGAGATCGTCACCACCATCCCCACCATAGGTGTGCGAGGCAGGGGGCCGCCAGGCAGGAGGGACCCCTCCCCCTCAGGGCTCCTTGGGAGGGGGCTCGCAGCTCCCCGTGCCTCAGTTTCCCTCCGCTGTCGCTCCCCGCAGGGTTCAACGTGGAGACGGTGGAGTACAAGAACATCAGCTTCACCGTGTGGGACGTGGGCGGGCAGGACAAGATCCGACCTCTCTGGAGGCATTACTTCCAAAACACGGGAGGAGGAGGAGGAAGGGGCTCGTTTGGGGTGGCCACGGAGCCAGGCAGACCCTGCGGTGCCAGCAGCGCCCACTCACTGTCCCCAGGGCTGATCTTCGTGGTGGACAGCAACGACCGGGAGCGGGTGAACGAGGCACGGGAGGAGCTCATGCGGATGCTGGCAGAGGACGAGCTGCGGGACGCCGTCCTCCTCGTATTCGCCAACAAGCAGGTGGGTCTGGGGAGGGGGGGGAGCCCCTGTGGTGGGGCCAGGACTGTTCCTGGGGCGTTGAGGCTGGTGTCTGTGGCAGGAGCGTGCCCATCCCTGGGGTTTCGGGGCTGGTATCTCGCAAAGCCTGTGGCAAGACCGTGCCTGTGCCCGTGGCATCAGGGCTCATATTTAACAGTCTTTGTGGCTGGACCATGCCCATCCCCGTGGTATTGGGGCTGGGATCTTACCAGCCCCTGTCCTAGAGGTGTGCCCATCTCCGTGGCATCAAGGTTGGTGTTTCATCAAGGTGTTTCATGCTCCCTCTGGCTGGACCGTGCCCATCCCTGTAGCAGCAGGGCTGGCGTTTAACACCTTGGTGGCAGCCCCACGCTCTTCCCTGTGGCATCGGGGCTGGTGCCCATCCCCATGGTGTCAGGGCTGCTGTTAAACAGCCCCCTGTGGTGAGGCTGTGCCCATCCCTGTGGCGTCAGGGCTGGTCTTTGACATGTCTTTCTGGCTGGACCGTGCCTGTCCCCATGGCATTGGGGCTGGCGTCTCATATTCCCATGGCAGGCCTGCGCCTCTCCCCACAGCATCGGGGCTGGTGCCAGCCCCCGTGGCAACGATAGTGCCCATCCCCGTGGCATCGGGGCTGCTGTCAGCCCCTGCGGCGGTGTGGCGCCCACCCCCGTGGTCTCAGGTCCAGCCTGTCACCCCCATCTCTGCCCTAGGACCTGCCCAACGCCATGAATGCAGCAGAGATCACGGACAAGCTGGGGCTGCACTCCCTGCGCCACCGTAACTGGTACATCCAGGCCACCTGTGCCACCAGCGGGGACGGGCTCTACGAGGGCCTCGACTGGCTCGCCAACCAGCTCAAGAACAAGAAGTGAGCGGGTGGCCACCGGCCCCGGCCCCCCCCCTC